GAGATAATAAATCAACAAAGTATTATCTATTACTTTTAAAAAATGACTTAATGGGACTGTATATTTAAATGATTCTAAAATAATACCTTCCTCTACAGCAGGGGTCCCCAACCTCTGGGCCGTAGAATGGTACTGGTATGTGAATCTGCAGTTCTTTATGGTTTTCAGACTGTACCATGGAATAAGTAGCTTTCAGTGCTTCAGAAGAACATATTGTTCTAGAATTCTAGGGTTTCATGTTACTCTGATAAACTCATTGAAGTTAACCTTGTATACTAGGTAAACTATTTACCATGGAGTAAGATTCTCTAGGGTAGAAAATACTGTTGAATTATAAATGAGACGCTGAATACAAAAAAGAATGAGTTCTACTTTTTTCTCATCTGAAGGCAAAGGTAATGGAAGTCCACAAATGCAGCAAATAGAATGATCTTGAGTGTTGCTGTGTTACTTGTGTGACTTTGGGCATCTCTGTAATCTTCAATTTCCAATCAACATTCTATGGCATTTATATATTTTACACACATTAAATATGCATTCTAAAGTGATCATTATGGAGACTTCCATGGTAGTCCAGTGGTTAAGACGCCATGCTACCAACGCAGGGGGTAGGGTTTAATCTGCGGTCAGGGAACTAAGATCCCACATGCTTTGCAGTGCAGTCAAAAATAAATAAATAAATATATAAATAAAGCTATTATTATTATTATGAACCATGAAAATTAGTGCGATGTATATCCCAGATGGCTCAGTGGTAAAGAATCTACCTGCCAAGCAAGAGACATGGCTTCAATCACTGGGTGGGGAAGATCCCCTGGTGAAGGAAACAGCCACCCACTCCAGGATTCTTGCCTGGAAAATCCCATGTGCAGAGGAGCCTAGTGGGCTACTGTCCATGGGGTCACAAAGAGTCAGACATGACTGAGCAATTAAGCAGCAACAACATGTCAAACTGTATATCAGTAATTTTTAATTGTGCTTCATTGGATAACAATGTACTTTAGCAAAAATAATTAAAGTGAGAGCATGTTTTCTAACTGCAGTAATGAACTGTCAAAAGTACATATGTCCCCACTCTAATTTTTATTAGCATAATAGTAATCACATACCAAATATAAACTCTTATCATAATAAATTGTAATGAAATAGGATAATAATGGCATTGACACTCTACTTATGAAGTTCTACTTATCATACAAATTACCTTGGGAAAAAAAATGAATCTAGTCAGGTAACACTTTATTGGTAGTCTTAGATAAAATAGGACTCCCGATTTCTCTCCTCCAAAATTATTCTTATTGGAGCAAATTTCACTACCTTAAACATTATATTTAATTATGTGTATATTTTCTGTCTCCAGTAGGGTACAAACACCAGGAGAGCGCAGACTTTTATTCAATACTGTAACCCCAGTGTCTTGCCCAGCACAGAGGAAGCCCACAATAAATATTTGTTGGATTAATGTATTTCTTTCTGCTAAATATTATGTTATATTAATGTTTTCTATTTAATTCACATATTAATCCTTTAAAATAGATAGTTGTAGTACAATATACTTAATTAAAGCTTCCTAGATGCTTTATTGATGCTTTTGAATTGTGATGCTTGAGAAGACTCTTGAGAGTCCCTTGGACAGCAAGGAGATCAAATCAGTATATCCTAAAGAAAATCAACCCTAAATATTCATTGGAAGGACTGATGTTGAAGCTCCAACACTTTGGCCACCTGATGTGAGCAGGTGACTGACTGGAAAAGACCCTGATGCTAGGAAAGATTGCAGGCAGGAGGAGAAGAGGGTGGCAAAATACTGTAACCCCAGTGTCTTGCCCAGCACAGAGGAAGCCCACAATAAATATTTGTTGGATTAATGTATTTCTTTCTGCTAAATATTATGTTATATTAATGTGTTTTCTATTTAATTCACATATTAATCCTTTAAAATAGATAGTTGTAGTACAATATACTTAATTAAGGCTTCCTAGATGCTTTATTGATGCTTTTGAATTGTGATGCTTGAGAAGACTCTTGAGAGTCCCTTGGACTGCAAGGAGATCAAATCAGTATATCCTAAAGAAAATCAACCCTAAATATTCATTGGAAGGACTGATGTTGAAGCTCCAACACTTTGGCCACCTGATGTGAGCAGGTGACTCACTGGAAAAGACCCTGATGCTAGGAAAGATTGCAGGCAGGAGGAGAAGAGGGTGGCAGAGGATGAGATGGTTAGATAGCATCACTGCCTCAGTGGATATGAACTTGAGCAAACTCTGGGAGATAGTGGAAGATGGAGGAGCCTGGCATGCTATGGTCCATCAGGGCACAAAGAGTTGATGACTTAATGACAGAACAACAACAACAGATGCTAAGAAATATTCTCAGGACTTCACTTAAATAATTTCTTTCTCATAGAACCTATAAAGTATCTGCATTTCACAGATAAAGCAATGGAAACACAGAGAAATTAAATCACTTGCCCAAAGTCATTCATTAAGAGTGGCTGAACCAGATTTTAACCTAGCTAGTGTGGCTTTAATTAACATACTGTTAACTATTACTTTATAAACTTTTCCATTTTTTTATCTTACATCTTAGATAGCTAAGGCTGAGAGCATTGTATGGGAACCATACTGTTTCCTTATATATATTTTATATTCATGCTGTATTTATGTTAATCATTGATTAAAGAATATCTCTTCATTACCTGTGACTGCTATGATAGAATACAAAATGAATACGGAAAAATATTGCAGATTATGTGTTTAAAACTAGCCATGGTTAAAGTCACTGAATTGCAGGGAGTTATCATGAAGGAAGACCTTAATGTTACTCATTTTCCAATTGGTCATCTTACAACTGAGAAACTGATGCTCAGACAGGTCAAGTGACAGTCTGTGGTTACTTAAAATGTTAGTTCTCATGCCAGTCTGAAGTTCCTTCCCTTGAGCAGGATGACTTTCCATTGAGTAGTTCAGAGCACATGCTTTTTCAACTCCTCCCTTTCTACCATAACATAGATTAAATAATAAGTGGGGCAGAAAATAAACCAGACAGGAGGGAGGAAGGCAATGGTCTTCCTAGTGTTTGATGACTAGTGTTTGATAACTAAGCTGTGCATCTTCATGGAAACAGAAACTATGACAAAAGCCATTGTACTGTCATTTGTCAATAGATGTTTTCAGATCTTAAGATTATTGAACTTATTGTAATAGCTACTCCTGTACCATTTATTTGAATGAAGAAGTCAACTTTGCCAGCAGTAGTAATTTTTACTCTTCTTGTTGTTTAGCTTGAAACAGACGAAAGTAGACTTAACACAAACATTTAATATCCACATGTCAGCTTTTGTAATGGGCATTCCTGCTTCATGCATTCATGCAATGTGTGTTTATCACCTTCCTGCCAATGCCAAGGACTGTTCCATGTACCTATGACTGTTCCAGACATAGCGTGTTTGAACAAGCTAGACAAATAACACAGCACTTACTCTCAGGAGCTAAGAATCATCAGGAAAGATAAAACAGAATTGTGGGAATAGAGAAACTACTTTTGATAGGATGGTCTGAGCAGGACCCTTTGGTGAGCTAACATGCAACAGNTGGTTTGGAATTTATCCCATAATTCAGTGTTTCAAAATCTTTGCATCTTCAAGAGGCCCAGCCCTGTGATTTTATCACCTGGATGCAGTGCCAAATATGACACAATGCAAGCTTGAAAATTCTCTAAAGTTTGAATACTTTTTTTTTTTTTGATGGTTGGAGGGACTGGTTCTTTATTTCAAAAAGACATTTATCAATTTTCATATCAAAACAGTTACACTATTGGTTTTTTTCCTCCCAGTTGGTCCGCAAAGAGACCACACCAAAGGAGAGAACATTTTAAGCCAATTAAACTGCAGGATGCACACCTAACAGACCTCACTGAAACCTCATCAAAAAAGGGGGACTGGGTAGGGAAAGAAACTTCAAAAGATCAGCACACTGCTAGCCCACAGACTGTAGAGAGCTCTCACAGGCAGAGGGGTGACCAGTGTGCCTCAACCCCAAAGAAGCAAAGTTCCAAAATAATATAAAATTTAAAAAGTTTTGTACATAAGCTTTTCAAGATTTCTCCAGCACTAACCGATACAAAGCACAATGAGATGGCACTTTTGGAGACAGCAGCTTCAGACCCAGAAAAGGGTGATGAGATGAATTTCATATGGCTAAATCAGTGGCAAAACATAATTTTCTTTCCTTTCAAGGAGGCAGGAGAGCAATTAAGTGGTCACTTCAACATAAAGGGCACATGATCCATTCTGTGAGCAGTTGGGAACAGGGTAGAGCTGGGACAAGGATTTGGTTTCAGAGGTTTCACCATCTTAATTGTTTGGTCACTTCTGATGAAAAAAGAAAAAAAAAAGTTGTCCAAAGATACCGTAAAGCTGAAAACCTGAACAGCACTTTTTTTTTTTTGGCTAACTCCTCCTGGAATCATCTTTCTGGTTTGGCGGGTACTTTTTACAGAGCAATGAGGTTTCCCCAAATGGAGCCTTTCTCTGGGCTGTTAGGCTCTCAGTAAGGCAGGCCCAAACCTTTTCCCTTTCTCTCTGGAGAAGGCAATATGCATTAAGCTGAAACGTTACCTTCCAAAAGTGAGAAAGGGATTAGACTGCTGCTTCAGAACTATGGAATTATTTGGAATGTTTTTTACAAATGGTTGTTACATCAAAAACAAAAAAGGTAATTACAAAATGTGTACATCACAACATGCTTTTAAAGACACTTTGCATTGTGCTCACATTCCCTTAAACGTTGTTCCCAAAGGTGCTCAGCCTCTAGCCCAACTGGAATCTCTGGGGAGAGGCAGAGACAGTTTGGCGAAAAGGACACAGGAGTAAGAGGGTGGGAGAGGTGGCGAAAGGAGAAAGCAGCCTTCCAGTTAAGATCAGCCCTCAGTTTAAAGGTCAGCTTCGGGCAGGCTGGCCTCAGCGGAGTCGGGGTGAGAGGAAGGAGCAGTGGCAGGGCGGGACTGGGGTGTTCTACATCTCATTCAGGTCAAGGAGAGTCTGGTCCAGCATCCTTTGTGTACAGAGGTGCTCCTCTTTGGTGCATTTCAGTTTATCTTCCAAATCGTCAATTGTCTTTTCCAGCTTGGCTACCGATCTCTCAGCAAACTCAGCACGTGTCTCTGCCTCCTTGAGTTTATCGGTAAGAATCTTTATCTCTTCCTCATATTTGTCTTCTTTTTGAGAGTACTTTTCTTCAGCAGCACTCAGACACTTCAGGTTCTGGTCCATCAGTCTGATTTGCTCATCCATCTCTCGGCAACGGGACTCTGCCAGCTTGGCCCGCTCCTCTGTGCGTTCCAAGTCTCCCTCAATAATCACCAACTTACGAGCCACCTCTTCATACTTCAGGTCTGCCTCTTCTGCAATGTGCTTAGTTTCTTTGAGTTGGATTTCCTGGAGTTCCATTTTTTCTTCATCTTTTAAGGCTCGGTTTTCAATAACCTTCATACCTCTCTCGCTCTCATCAGCAGCTTTCTCAGCTTCCTCCAGCTTTTGCAGGGCAGTGGCCAGGCGCTCTTGAGCTCGGTCCAGCTCCTCTTCAACCAGCTGGATCCTACGGTTCAAGGAGGCCACCTCAGCCTCAGCCTGTTCTCGGGCCCGCCTTTCCCCCTCCACTTCCCGCTGCAGGCGCTCGGCCCTTTCCTCTGCATCATCGGCCTGCTGCTGCAGAACCTGGATCTTGCGCTTCACCGCCTTGATGGTGGTGATCCCGGCCATGGTCCCCACCCAGCTCCTGATTGCCTTCGGGTTCCTGCCTCCCCTGCTCGGCGTTGCAGCCGCTTCTCACCCCTACTTCCGCCTGCTCCGCCCTCTAAAGTTTGAATACTTTGAAAATTTTCATGAACCTTACATTTTGTTCATGGTTATAGACATCTGTCATAATGAATGAATGCTCTTGTTTAAGAAGCATGACCACAGTGAGTGGAGAACAGTGCATTTTGTTGTTGCTGTTTAGTCATGAAGTTGCATCCGACTTTTTGCAACCCCCATGGACTGCAGCCCACCAGGCTTCTCTGTCCATGGGACCCTCCAGGCAAGAATATTGGAGTGGGTTGTGATTTCCTTTTCCAAGGTAGCTTCCTGACTCACGGACCAAACCTGCATCTCCTCCATTGTAGACTCTTTACTGCTGAACCATCAGAGAGCCCGTATATTTATTTAGTACAGAAATACATGGTAAATATCACTGTTTGGATGGTCAGTGTGTTAGCCACATGTAGAATGGATCAGGACAGGACAATATGATGGACTTGCACAAGTGCCAGGATTATGTTGGCAATGATTCAAAGAGAAAGGGAAGTCTTTTACACAAGAGTCTTTTCACAAGACCTAACTGAAAGGATTCGATAATTCACTGGATATATTTGTTGAAGGAAAGGGAAGAGAGAAAGATATCTGGGTCTTGGGAATAATTCTTAAACCACCACTGAAACAAAGACGCAAGGAGAGTAGGACTTCTTGTGATGTTCTGGCTCCTTTTTTGTTACTTTGAGTTTAAGGCACCTAAAAGATGTTCTACATAGAAAAGCCTTTCAAATAGTACCCACTCAAAAATATCTGTAGGGTGGGCCATGCATCAACCCATTGATGTTACAGCAGATTTCAGTCTGGCCTTATAAGTAAGTTAGTTTCAGATGCTCAGTCGTGTCCAACTGTTTGCGACCCTGTGGACTGTANTTCATGTCAATGTATGACAAAAACCACTACAATATTGTAAAGTAATTAGCCTCCAACTAATAACAAAATAAATGGGGAAAAAAAAAATAGGACTGGTCCATCTTGGTCCAATAGCAGGCAGAACTGGATTAATCCAGCTTCAGATTTTACAAGCGAATATGACATACAAGAAAGGAGCCCATCAGTGACCCAGAAATGTTGATGAATTCCTGGAAGCAGAACACAAATGGCCGCTGATTGATACGGAAACATGAAAATTCAAAGAGGATGAGGCCTCCTGGACAGAGATATCAGAAAAGAAAAAAAAAAAAAACAAAAACAGGTCAAACATTTGGAGCAAGAGCAAATAGTCACTTGGGAGCCCTGAAGGAGCTCCCATCTCAGAATCAACAAATGGAGAGAGAAGCAGACCATAGAAATTAATTTAGCAGCAGCTCTCAGATCACTGGAGGGAATTGCATCGCTTACCCTCGTTGACCGCCTGTGTATTCAGCATAGCTGACACTGACTGCTTTTGGCTGAGACTAAAACTTCAAGAACATCTCTCAAAATAAAGTGGCATTACAACTCCTAGATTTTGGATCTAAGAGAGATGCAAAGGGAAATTTAAGGTATATTAGAGCTGCCGCAAGAGATACAAGGAAGAAGGGAATAAAAATACACCAAGAAACCCAGGCATTAAACCCACCACCACCCACATAAAGCTCTCCTCATACAGAACATTGTAGGGATAACTAGCCAACTGGCCTCCTCCCTGCCCTCCTTTAAGGTCTTGATTTTTGACACATATCATCTCTTTACACAAAGCTCTCAGTCAGTCTCCTATCCATAACTTTGAGGAATGATGGACAGAGGTTAAAGGACATAGAAATGCTAAAATATTTCAGGGAATGGAAGTCAATAAGTAATGTGAATTACATTAACATCAGACTTCTCATCAGCAATCCTTTCTGCTAGAAGATAATGAAATGGTGTCTTCAAAACTGTGATGGAAAAATTATTGAGAGTCTATTTTTACATTTCCAACCAAACCGTCAATTAATGACTAATGCAAAATAAAGTTATCTTGTTTACATTCAAGGACTGAAAAAACTCTTCAATTATTTCCCTATAGGAAAAAGAAAAGCAAGAAAATATCTATTCAAGCTGAATAATAAGGAAACTTAGGATAGAAGATGCTATGGGTTACAAAATGATTGACAAGTGACAAGTCCAGAAAAAGATAAGATGGTAGGAGAAAAAAGGAGACCTCCTGTCTTTGATGAATATTCATTTTCAAGGGGCCCATATTTAAATATATGGGGTTCTAGTTCCTTTACTCTGAGTCCAATTGAAGTAATAAATTTTGCTGTGAATCTGCATACAAGGATACTTCAGAGACATTGTGGCCCTGGATCATGGAAATAAATCAAATATCACAATAAAGCAAGTCACACGAATTTATTGCTTTACCAATGCACATAAAAGGTTATGTTCACACTGTACTGTAGTCTTAACATCTGCAAAGCAGCAAATCTTATATATATATGTATATATATATACATATATATATACACATATATATATACACACACATACACACAGACACACATAATCTTGGACAGCGAGGAGATCAAACCAGTCAATCCTAAAGGAAATCAACCCTGAATATTCACTGAAAGGACTGATGCTGAAGCTGAAGCCCCAATATGTTGGCTACTTTATGGGAAGAGCTGATTCACTGGAAAAGAACCTGATGCTGGGAAAGATTGAGGGCAGGAGGAGAAGGCGATGACAGAGGATGAGATAGTTCGATGGCATCATTGACTTAACGGACATGAGTTTGAGCAAACTCTGAGAGATGGAGAAGCAGTTCATGGGGTCACAAAGAATCATATACAACTTAGCAACTGAACAAGAATACATAATCTTAAAATACTTTATTGCTAAAAAAAAAAAAAAAAGGCTATCCATGATCTGAGCCTTCAGAATTTCAGTCTTTTTGCGAAAGTAATATCAAAAGATCACTGATCACATGTCATCATAACAAATATAATAATAATGAGAAAGGTTGAAACATTGTGAGAATCACCAAATCCTGTTGGGAAAGAAATCGTGCTGATAGATGCAGGGCTGCCACAAATCTTCAATTTGTAAAAACACAGTATCTGCGAAGCTCATTAAAGCAAAGAGCAATGAAACAAAGTATGCTTGTATCATGATACTATAAATGGTACTTATTGACTTATCATCAACTTTTCCTAGAAAATCTAGGAAAACAATTTATAATTACTAAACTAAATGCAAGCATATAAATTTTTATCATATAATAGTAAGCTAACGAATCAGCAGGTGAAAGAAATGTCAAATGGGGGAAACAGTAGAATTTCCTTATCTTGCTGGTAAGAAGACTTCAAATAAAAACATCAAAATTGATTTTTAAAAAAAAGATTAAAAAGATTTCTAAAAGGGATGAAAAGTTATAAAATTAGACCAGAAAAATAAAGATAATTCTAAATTCTGGTAAAATAATTCTGCAAGTAGGGTAGCATGAGGGTATTACCCTCAGTAGTATTTGTCTGTAATGTTATTCTGTGCATTCACTACTTTAAAATATATTTAGCTATTTAAAAATTTTGTTATTTAAATTACCAATTTCTAGTCCTTTTGTAATAATTTTCAAGGAAAAGCAGACAGGAATTGTTTAACCAGCAATTCATTTTCTCTAGAAGAGCCAATTGGTTCTTGTGTACTTTCTAGTGTAAGAAATATTGCTAAAAGCTAAGTATGCTGTCAGCATTCTTTCTTTCAACAAATGTTCTAAACCAGAAATCAAATCATGCATCCCATGGAAGCTTTGGTCTGTGAAAATGTTTATTTATGGTAGATTTTGCTTATTTTTTTTAACTGAAATGTCACTAACATTTAACAATCACATAAAATTCCATATTTCTGGCATATCTTACAAACTCAGAAAACTTTGCTAACATTGTCTACAGGCTCCCCTCTGGCAACAAGTGACTGGAACCCATAAAATCAAACCCATTGGTTTGGTTGGGGTGGTGATATTTAACTTATGCATTCACCAGAATCACTCAGAATTCCAGTTCTAAGTAGATTCTAGGTGCTGGACCTTAGCTTCAGAGTTTCTGATTCTCTAGGACTGGGGTGGGAGGACCAAATTTATATCTCTAACAAGTTCCTGAGTAATGGTGCAGGTCAGGGAACCACACTTTGAGAACCACTGGATTAGGCCATGTTTTCATGGTGGTCATCATTACTCTTAACCTTTCCAAGTCACTTACTAGTGTAATCTAACTGGCCACTAGATTTGTGTTTCCTGCTTCAAATCTTACTTGCAGTCATTTCTCCAATGAACAGACAGTATTCCTCATTTGAGAAAAGCCCTTCCATCATAATGAAGGGGACCCACTAAACATTTGGCCTTATTTGAGCATATGGCATAAAGTAATCTCTGTTGGGAATCCCCTGGTTGGCCCAGTGATTAGGGCTCCATACTTTCACTGCCAAGGGCTCAAGTTCAATCCCTGGTTGGAAAAATAAGATCCCACAAGTTATGCAGCACAGCCCCCCAAAAAGTAATTTTATTGTTGTTTATTTTTTTTAAAAATTTTTATTTTTGAAAAGTTATTTAAAAGAATTAAAACACTCTATTGATTTTATTTTATATATCCTGGCTTATCTTCCATTCATGTAAAACTGTATGTGCCAGGCTCTAGTTGCCAATACACTGGGACTTGTGTCCCTGATCTTCCTTGTACTAGCAATTGTACCTTGAATGACAAACTTCATTTGTCTACATCTCAGCTTTCTTACCCACAGGAGAGAGGATGCAATGTTAATGGTATGACTTGGGGAGGGTTAACAGAGCTGATGTCCATAGAGCTCCTAGCTGAAGGTTGGGTACCTCATAGTAACTCTGAAATTGAGGATTCTGACAAAGGCCATGCTGTTTAAACTCTATTCTTTTGACTTTGGACATGTTGGAAAATGGGCATTTTTCTGATGATATAATATTATGAAATATTTTTGAATTAGTTATGTATAAGGTAATTTCTAGGGTTCTTGGTT